TCCCACAGTGTCTGGCTGTCTGTGAGGGATTGCTCTTTGTCTGTCTTCTGTTATTTCTGTAAGGATTGCTGGTATTTTGTATCACTGGTTTCTGTGCAAATTAGCCTCAGCTGAATCTATCTTTGGTCTAAAGTATAACCATGTCCACTGACCCCCATCTGATCTTCTCAGATGTTTATGTGTTTATCTGTAGCCTGGTGTTTGATGTTAATGGTGATGCAGTATTGTAGATATACTGGTATTAGCCTCTGTCGTCTATATCTTATGTGCATAATTTGGTGTTCTCCCTTTCCTTAATGTTATCATGGTGGTCACAGACTCTTTCCATACCACCCCTCCCATTACCCACATCAGTGTGTGGCCCCAAACTAGCCCGAAATTAATCCCTCCCCTTCCCTCCCCACCCCGATTAGCTTTTGCTGAGAGAAAAAGAAAAAGAATCGTAGTATCAACCAATACATATACCAAAATAAATTTCAGATGGATGAAATGCAAAATTACATTTAAAAAAATCTTTATAAAAATTCTAAAATATTTTCTGTCTTCTAAATTGAAAATAAAAATAACTTTATAAGTGTAGAAACAATGAAGGAATACAAAAAGGAAACGTGATGCCAATGACTATGTCATTCAACAGATATTTATGGACCACATATTATGTGCCAGGCCCTGGGGAGCACATAAAATGAAATACCCAACCCACTGCTATTAACTCAATTCCAACTCATAGCGACCCTATAGGACAGAGAGCAGAACTGCCCCGATAGGGTTACCAAGGCTGTAAATCTTTATAGGAGCAGACTGCCTCATCTTTCTCCCATGGAGTGACTCATGGGTTCAAACCAATGACTTTTGTTTAGCAGCCCAGTGCTTTAAGCTCTAGGCCAGTGAACCAAAAAAAAAAGAAAAAAACCAAACTCATTGCCATCAAGTGGTCCTTAAATGTAATAAAGTGTATGTTGTTTTCTGAAACCATGACCAAAATTAAAAATCAAAGAAATAATAGGAAAAGATGTTTTCAGTAACTATAGTTATTAAGATCCTTGACAAATAAATTGTTGTTGTTGTTGTTATGTGCCGTCAAGTCAGCCCCGACTTATAGCAACCCCTCCTTGGGTTTCCGAGGCAGTATCACTATGGAAGTAGATTGCCCAATCTTCCTTCCATGACAAATAAATAGTTCTTATAAAATGATAAGGGAAATGCTACAGTTCTAGTAAATACATGAGAAAGGAATGTAAACTGACAAGTTAGGAAAAGACAACAAATGCATCAACAAAAATTTTTTTAAGTTCAAACTGATCAGTAATCAAAGAGGTGCAAATTAAAATAAGTTACCATATGTAACTTACCACATTCACAATGTAGACAGGTAATGGTGTAGTGAGACAAAATCTTTCAAATACTGCTGTTGAGAGTGAAATCCATAGGAAGCAATAATAAAGCTCTTTTAAATCGTCACACTCTTTGCCATCCTAGCTCCACTTCTGGGAATCTATCCCAAAACAAAGTCATCAGAAATGCCTGCAAAGAATTGTATACAAAAATATTCATCACAACACTATATTTCATAGCAAAAAAAGAAAGAAAGGAATAATCTAACTGGCTAAAAATATAAGAATAGACACTATTTAGGTGAATAATAGGATTTCTATATAATAAAATACGAATACACTCATTTCAAATGATATTTAGAAGGAGCTTTCATGATGTATATATAATTAAGTGAAAAGAGAAAAATATGAAATTGTGTAATCTTTTAATCATGTGAAAAATATATACAGAGAACTGATAAGAATGATTATGCCAAATATGGTCTCTAGGATTTAAAATTATGGGTGATTCATTAAGTTTTTTTTCTGCTTCCCAAATTTTCTCTGCACATCATCTATTATGAGCACTGAAAGGGGGAATCAGATATTAGGGGTATATAATATGGAAAGTCTTGTGGTATAGTGCCTAGGGCATTTGACTGCTAACCAGTCAAACCCACCAGCCACTCCTCGGAAGGAAGGTTGGGCAATCTACTTCCGTAGTGATACTGCCTCGGAAACCCAAGGAGGGGTCACTATGAGTTGGATCTCACTCATCGACAGTGTGTGTGTGTGTCCACGTTTCAACAAACTGTGTTGCCATAAACAAGGAAGCCAGATTTTCTTCTGTAAACTCCCATTCACTCAGCAGAAACAGCTAAAACAGAGTTCTGCTTATTGAGAGCATAGAAAATTCACCAATAAGTGAAAAATCCCATCTTTCAGCTGTTGTAAAGCAAGTCAGTGTTTATTTCACATTAAGAAAGTGTGTAGACTCATACTTTGCCTCTCCTCATTCGGTATCTGCCTAAGTAGAGATGGCTTTACTTAAAACCCTTACAAATTAATTCTTCTTTCTTCCAAAAAATAAAGAAGTCATTGTCACCATTTAAACCAAGGGAAAAAAAAAAAAAAAAAGCCTAATTCATTATCACCTGAGTGACTTTTTTCCCTTCCTAGAAAATCAGCATAAAAATATTTGCATAGAAGAGTAGGAAGAGAACTGCCAAGAGTGAAAATACTCAAAAAACCAAACTCACTGCCGTCGAGAGGATTTCAACTCATAGCCACCCTCCTTGGGTCTCTGAGGCAGTATCTCTACAGAAATAGATCACCCAATCTTCCTTCCAAGGAGTGGCTGGTGGGTTTGAACCACCAGCCTTCTGGTTAGTCAAATGCCTTAAACACTATGCCAACAGAGGTCCTAGAGTGAAAATATATAATTGGAAATAACCTATTTTCAGGTTCTTCCCCTCCCCTCAATGTATTACTTTGGAAGCATGTAGACACTACTTGGGGGTGAAAATCAAAAACCAAACTCACTGCCATCAAGTTGAATCTGACTCATAGTGACCCCTCATTGGTTTTCCAAGGTGGTATCTCTACAGAAGTAGATTGCCCAGTCTTTCTTCTGAGGAGTGGCTGGTAGGTTTGAACCTCCAGCCTTCTGGTTAACAGTTAAATGCCTTAGGCACTACACCACTTGGGGATGAGGGGTACACAAGTGTTTTTAAAAGGATAGCTGGAAATCAAACTGGTAGATCTCTTTGTGAATAAAAAGCCTGTCTGTTGGTTGAAATAAGACTAAGATGGACCCCTATCAACTGAAACAGGGCAAAATCATTCCTGAATTACAACATTTTCATCTCATGGGTCAATCCCTGTCCACCAGCAGACATCAGTATCACTTCTTTCTATCCCCACACCTCACCTTTTAGAGTTGGAACTAGTAATCTCTACTTAGGGAATGCACAAGCCACAAGATGTATAATTCTTGATTTCTCTTATTTTGAGTTTTCTGGCTCATGCTTCACTCTCTGCAAACACTGATCACAGAACTTTAAATAAGGGGTGCAGTTGACTGAGATGTTGGCCTCCATTCAAATTAAGGGTGAGACCCTCCATGTTTGCTTTCTGTGTTTGCTGAGAATAAGCCATGGGAGCGGTAGCTGGGAGCAACCAAGATAACATTGATATGTCCAGATGCCCGTGGCTCATTTCCTGTAGAATTACTGTAGAGTTTTTAGAGATTGCACTGTGTGTGTGTATCTGTGTGTGTTTAAGGGCCTTGAAATGGAGACTTGGGGAAAGTTGGATTAAAGGATCTCTGAGGCCAAGCATATCTCAACTAAAGGAAGCAGAAGTAGGTGGATAGTTCTCTAATAAAGTCGAGTTGTATAGAAGGCTGATCTCTTCAGTCAAGTCTCTCTTTTTTATGATTTAGTTTGACTAATTGTAGTGAAAATTTTTCTGCAAAATGTAGAAGACAGAGTGTGACATCTGAAAGGGCCTCTGAAGTGGTCTAATTTAGATCCCACATGTTACAAATGAGGAAACTGTGATTGCAGGGGCTGAGGAAATGGCCTCAAAGCAGACAGCATGTTAGTGACAGTGTCAGGAGCAGATCCTAGATGTATCAGTGGCAAGGCTGAGGGTCTTTGACCCTGGCAGCCCTGGGCCCTCCACTAGCCTTTGGTGGAAACTTCTGTATCTGCCACGTGGTCTTCATGAAGTTTTTGTGGCATGAGTGACAAGATGAGATGGAGGTCAACAGGATGCCTCCCTTCTCATCCCAACTCCAATATCTGGAAACTGAGAGCATATCTCTGGACTTGGGTTTCTTTTCTCTAAAGTAGGGACAACTTTGCCCACCCCTACCACTCAATATGGAAATGGAAAAGGAGCACCAGGCTGGAACTTGAGGTGGGAGTCCCAATTGTGCCATTTTTTGTTTTAACTTTTTATTGTGGTTTGGGTGAAATTTTACAACTATGTTATTTTTAAAGCATCTATCAGTCAAGATGCTTGGGCAAGTTCCTTAACTTATTTGTGCCTCAGTCAACTCACCTAAAAGAAAATGAGGGTCATAATATCTGCCCTACACATCACTGTAAGATCAAACAGGAAGGTGCAAATAAGTTGAAAAAGAAAAAAAAAAAAAAAAGGTTTGTGAATTGTAAAGAGAAAACATGGAAGATAAGTTTGATGGGGGATTCCCAAGACCATTTTATTTTAAGTGAAGTTAGCCAAAGTGTTCTCCATTGTTGAACAGGACCTAAAGGAAGGGCTTGTGAGGGTTCTCAGTGGTGGTGGACACTTCAGCTTTCTACACAGATGGTGATGTGTTCAGGGCAGGGCAGAAATGGAGATGGTGGAGGCTGGTACAGCCTTGGGGGTGGGTGTACTTCCATCCACTCAGACAGCTCTGCTCTCAACCAACTAGGCCTGTGGAGCTCAGCAGGACAAGTGCCTCTTGGCGCTGCTTCCCTAACAAATGAAAAAATAATGCCCTTGAACCAAGAGTGAAACTGAACTATCTAAGGAAAACACTGTGAGCAAACACTATGAGTTGAGGGAAACCATCTGATTAGCAGAGTTCCCCTCAGGAGCACGTTGGGTTCACACCTTCTACAAGAGGAAGGTGGCAGCTTCTCCCTGGGTGGCGGCTGGAGGACAAGGGGGCTGAGCCATGTCCACCACCATTTACCAAGTGGTGGGTTTCCTCCTGTCCATCCTGGGACTGGCAGGCTGCATCGCCGCCACAGGGATGGACATGTGGAGTACCCAGGACCTGTACGACAACCCTGTCACCTCTGTGTTCCAGTACGAAGGGCTCTGGAGAAGCTGTGTGAGGCAGAGCTCAGGGTTCACCGAATGTCGGCCCTACTTCACCATCCTGGGCCTTCCAGGTAGGCACCATCTGGCACCACAAGGCAGGACCAGGTGAGGGCAGGGAAGGGGCTGTTGGCTCTCACCGCAGCAACAAGGGGCCTCAGAAATCACCACACAACTGAGCCACACTGTCACCTCTGGGTGTGACTCTTGCAACTTTGACTCAGAATAGAAGGTGTGAATAAAAGAAGTTGCCTCTTCGTCAGAGAAATACAGATACAGAAGAGTCATAGAGATACAGATATCATAAGGAGAAAACTGGGGAATTCCAAATAAAAGCAATTGTTAGTAAAGAAACAGGTGATGAGAAGAGTGGGTCTGTTTGAAAGACATGGTCATAATTCATAGAATCAACTAATGTTTCTCAATTAGAAAATAAATTGTATCCACATGTGTGTGTGTGTGTGTGTGTGTGTGTACCTGCTCCTGACTGTACACACATTGGAGAAGTGAAGAAAGATGGTGAATATCTCCTTATAGCCACAAGAGGCCATTTAGTTTCATTTTCAATTCAATTAAATTTTTCTTTGAAAAATTGGAGTCTCTGTGGGTGCCAAAAAAAAAAAAAAAAACTCTATTGCCATTTACTTATAAATTCCTTTTTCTGCATTTATGTTGAAAAGTTCTGATATACACTACTGAAAATCAATGTGTGTCAAAATATTTATAATTATAGATGTGACATCCTTTCCCCCTTGAAGATGAAACAAGTTCAACCCCTGCTTTTAATGTGATAATTACCTCAATATGCATCATAGCAAATTTGCATTCTGGATATTATGGAAGTGCTTTGAATTTTATTACTTTTTTAGAAAGCAAAAAAGAATATAAAGGTCAAACTAATCAGTGTCTCCAAGAGGTGGCCACCATGTGAGTGTGGTGGGGAGAGAACAGTTGTGCCTCTCTTTGAAACAAATACCTGGTAAGCAAGTATATGGCAAGCAATTTGCACAAAACTGTAAAGAGCCTGGAAAGCCCTTGAAATTGAATTGTCAAAAGCAATTCAGTTAATTCATCTTCATTTTCAGAAAGAAAGAAAAGACAGTGAGAGAGTAGTAGAACCTGGTTATTTATTCAAATCCATTGTTGGAAGCTACCAATATCGCTGGACCAACAAGGCCAGTGACTCAATGAAAGACTTGCCTGGGGGAGAGGGAGGGTAGAACCTGTGGAGGGAAGAAAGCCAGGCTGGTGAGGGGCATGTGGATTATGCTGTAGTGTGAGGGAAGCGCTCAGAAGGGAAGAGATGCGAGAACTATGGCTTGCTGTGTTGCCAGCTAAACCTAACTTTAACAATTAAATGAAGAAAACAGACTGATCTTGTATTCAAACTTATGGCATGACCCCCCATGACTTCCAGGTCAATAACCTCTTCCTCAAGCTCCACCACTCATTATCAATCTCCTGCTCACTCCTCATCACAGTTCTCACATGTGAGGCTGCCAAAACCTTCCTATTCTCCTAGACTTCCCAACTTCATCGCTGCCACCTCACTTTTCTTTCCTATTCTACTAAATGATTCTGTCCTCCATGAACCCTCTCCGAGTCTCCACCTTGATTCATCTCTCTGCAGAGCAAGATTCTCTCCCCTATTCTCTAGCCAGGGAGCTCTGGTAGCATAGTGGCTAAAGCACTTGACTGCTAACCAGAAGGCTGGCGGTTCAAACCCATCAGCCACTCCTCGGAAGGAAGGTTGGGCAATCCTACTTCCGTAGTGATACTGCCTCGGAAACCCAAGGAGGGGTCGCTATGAGTCAGGGCTGACTCGACGGCACATAACAACAACAACAACATTCTCTAGCCAACGCTGACATCTCTGCCGGCTCTGAAGGGCCCACACCATCTGGTCTGGGATCTCACTCTGCTGATCAGCAAGTTCCATTCCTGCCTCTTTCATCCCTCCTCCCCACTTGTCTGTATCCTCCTTTCCTGGGAAATCTTCCCTCGATTCTGCTCATTGTCAAGTGCTGTCTCTCTCTTGAGTCACTGACAATCAAGGCAAAAGACTAAATTTTTCTACCACCTGTCATTTTCACCCTTCCCAGTCTGGTTTCTAACTTGCTTATTATTCAGTTTTTGTGTTGTAGGTACCTTCAGCTAGATAAGACTTCCTTCCCCAGACTCCAGCATAGGGCCTGGTACATAGTGAGCATTCAGGAAGCAGTGAATAACTAAGTTGAATTTAATCATAAGAATACTTCATTTTCAGTGTTCATATGAGCCATTAAACACAAGTCAAAATTATCCAAAAAAAAGCACAGAAGATTACCTTTGTACTACAATTGTTTATTATTATGGTTCCATGCATAGAAAAGACCTGGTCCTTCTTCTGCCTCAAGCAGATTAATTTATTCATTCAGTCATGTATTCAACAAACATCTTTTGTCTGCCTGCTATGTCCTAAGAACCACAGTTTCAGGTACTATGATAGTTAGAGCAGCTGATATTAGCTTCTTGGTGTCTTGACACAATAGAAGTTTACCCCTTACCCATCTTGTGGGGAGAGAAGCCTCCTCCTTCTTGTTGCAACATTATTCAAGGTTGCTGAGGCAGAGAAGAAAGGATTGACGGATACACATCACATCTTAATTGCCCCAGCCTAGAAGTGCTGCAGTCAATTCCAATCACAAGCCATTGGCCAGAACTAGTCATATGGCCCAGGGGCCTGGGAAATGGACAGCATATGGCTGTTTGGTGAGCACCAATTATGTGTGTCACAAAGACCATTTGGACAGTAACTTCTTGGGCTATAAGGGAACCACCATGCTGGTTTCTTCTTCTCAACAGCACCAATCAAACTCAATGAGAATGCAAATGAATATACATCATTGGTTTATATTCATTCTTCAGACAAACATTACTTAATTTCTCTTTGTATAAAATATTTTCTGATTTAAGATGATAACAATATTCTGCTTCAGAAGCCAGACACTCTGATGAGGGTGGGGGAAAATCAGGAAGGAGGGAGAGTTTTCGTATTATAAAAATCCCTTGGCACTTAATTATCAAAAGAATGTACATATGGTCATGGAATAAAAGAACACTTTTGATTTTGAAAAAGTCAATTTTTCAAAGAATAAGGCAGAAGGAAGGAATAGTGGAGTATATAGAGTGAGAGGGACAAGAAAGAAAGGGAGTATATTTGGTGTTACTGGGTACCGACTTCTTTTTCATGTCAGGCCAGAGAGCTCTTAAAGAAGAAACCCAGCTGCTACTCAGAGAACCCTGAGGTGGTTTAAATTCACAAAGGGAGAAGTCCTGGTCCATCTGAGACAAGCATTAGGGCACAGTGAGCTGAGAGAAATACCTCCTTAAATCATAAGGTCTGCAAACAGACTGTCTGGTACTGCCACAATGCACTTAGGGCTCTTGGAAAGTGTTGGTCTCTGTCTTTGTCTGTAAGTGCGGGGCCAAAGGACCCAGCTGGGCCTGTTTTGCACCTCTCCCAACACCCAGCACAGCCCAGAACAGGCACTGAGGAGTTGGAATAGAGGAAAGTGGGTGCCAGCTTCTGTGTCATGTCTCCCAGCTGTGCTAGAAAAGTTAACTTAAGCTGAGCCAGCATTGGAACCAAGGGACAGGTCTCCACAGCTGTACAACAGCCCCATCTGTCTGGGTGGAAGGACAGGATTCCACTAAAAGCCAAGAAAGACGTTTCTTGGAACTGGGGTTAAAACCAAAAAGATAAAACCCACTGCCATCAAGTCGATTCTAACTCACAGAACCCCTATTGGGTTCCCAAGGCTGTAAATCTTTCTGGAAGTAGATTGCCTCATCTTCCTCTTGCAGAGCAACTGTTGGGTTTGAACCACCAATCTTGTAGTTAGCAATCAAATGCTTTACCCAATATACCACCAGAGCTCCTTGGAGCTGAGGTTACAGAAAAGGAAATACTTCAAATAGCTGATAATTTGTGGCCGCAGAGAATATTTTCTACAAGTGTGGAATTAAGAATAGGTCGTCCTCATGTAGCCGGAGTAACTAAGTGTCATTTGCCATCCAGAAATGCAAATATTTGTATGATGACTCACTCTTGGCTGACTGAGGTAAGGAATGGGTAGGAAGATTTCCAAATGGGCATGGCTAAAAGGACACTCAGAAGCTAGAGGCAAGGATGTAAGGAGACAGAACAGCTAGAGAAGAGGCAGGAGGGTGGCTGTAGACACTAGTGGGACACTGAGGAGCTGGAAGGAAATCACTAACCAGCCGGGGGTCCAACAGCTAGAGGGGATTCAGTCATGCCAAGCAGCAGTTTAAAGCATTTTCTTGAGAATGACAAGAAGCCTGAAGCAGCAGGCTAGGCAAAAAGTCTGGAGACAGAAATGAAAGGTTATAGACAGCTGGTACAGAGAGTTTAATTTTGACCTAGAACCCAAGGGAGTAACGCCTTCCAGCTGAGAAGTAAGCCTTAGAGTGCTATAAAGCCATGAAGCAAGTAACGTTATAATACTTTAATTAATAGTCATAATTGTTTCCATTTATTAAACCTTACTAAGTGCACGGACTTCTCTTATAAAAATATCACTTAATTTGTCAATCATCTGATAAATATGTATCATATCTATTTGGAATTTAGAGCCACAGAATAATTTAATTTGGTTCAACAAGCTTTATTATGTAATCTACAGATAGATTAATGAGGTGAATGGTGGTGATAGCAGCACTATTTACCTGTATATTACTAGCTCTGTATAATTTATAGCCCACAATTCCCTCTTACTATATTCCAAACAGCCAATGCAGTATGGATAATGCCCAGAAATAAAAATGGCTACTTCACACAAGTTCTCCAGTTTAATCTTCCCAGTAATACATGGAGGTGCATATTAGCTTTATTTTTACAAAATTAGAAACATGACCAAGGTCCCAGGGACAGAAGGTGGTAAAGCCAGAGGTGAGCCAAGGCTGAACACCTTCAAAGCTGGGTTTTTCCCCTGCTCTGTGTGCAGGCCATTTCTACAAACCAGCTAAAAGGGGTTGTCTTTAGAATTGAAGAGATTGTCCTGGGCTTGAGCAC